TCTACCTAGCTGGGAGTGCATTTAGCAGCATGAACAGGGCTAATAAAAAAAGACAAAAAAAAAACCAACCCACAAACCAAAAAAATCAGAAACATTTTTGAGCCTATTGCCATCTGTCTGTAGTCTCCTTGCTTAGGATTTATGGAGAAGGCTGGGCTCTGACCCGTTACACCTGACAGCCCCTACAGCAAGCTCTGGGTTTGCTTGCCTCGCCTCCGGCTCAAGTGAAAGCGCTCGTGTAACCTTATATGTGTGGCCGGGTCTGTTGACTTCACCAGTCCAGGTTAAGCATGTCCTGTGGCAGGATGGGGACCTAATTCAGCCATAGGGAACGGGCACGGACAACAGCACTTTGCAGTTACCTGTTATAATTTACAATGTCAGGCCTTTATCCTACCATTGAATCCACTTGGGCAGCGCTTTGAGGATTTCTGCACTCTCACTTACAGAGCTGTGAAGTGTATTAGGCTGAAATTAATCTGCCAGCCACAGCTAACACGGCCCTGACCTAGCTGGGAGTGCATTTAGCAGCATGAACAGTGCTAATAAAAAAAGACAAAAAAAAAACCAACCCACAAACCAAAAAAAACCCCCAACCCTGCCAATGCACACTGTGACCAATTTCCAACTGCAGGGAAAGGCATGCGCTGAGCGCTCCCTGGGAGATTCTCCACCCTTGTACAGAGCAAACCGAGCCAAGCAATTTCTAGGTCTCAAATCCCGCCTGCCCCTGACGTTCTCATCTTCCAGCTTCCCCTGGTCGCTTTTGAAGGCGAGCACGTGCTTCTCGGCGGCAGCCCCTGCTCACTGAAGGCGCTCGGCCTCTGTGCAAGGTCTGCACGCATGCAGGGCAGAGCCGGCGAGAGGTAGGTGCTGCCTGTCAGGGTTGCTGCCCGACAGGGCCGGAGCTGGCAGTGGCAATGCCCCTTCTGCAAAGAGCCCTCCCCGGGGGGGAGCCGGGGAAGGGGGCTGCTCGGGGATGAAGCAATGCCATGGTTTCCTGCGAGGGGTGGCAAGGTGGACGTCGGGCACGGCGACTGGCACCAAGGTGGCTGAGAAAGGGGTGGAGAGGCAGGTGCAAGCAACCGGGGGGGTTTGCACAAGGCTTTCTTGGCTGCCGCAGTCCAAGGCCCCTCTTCCCCGAAATGCGTCATGGGTGGGTATTGCAGCTGAGCTGCATAGGGAGGGAGCTTTTTTTTCTTTGCGTGTCCCTCTGCACGTTTTTATTTATTAATTGGCTTTCCTAAATCGCCCTTCTGTGCAGCCCAGGTAATCTGCTCTGCCTCTGAAAGCCCTCTGGTCACCACCCCTTGGCTACCCTTGACCCTGGCAGCATCTTCAAAGGGAGCATGGGCCTGCTGCGGAGCGTGCAATGTTTGCTCACTTACCCGGCGAGCAGCTACGGCCTCCCTGCCTTGGGGGGTTTCATCAGCCTCCTGCAGCACTCCAGGGGAGACCGGTCGGCCACCGCTGCTTGCACAAGGTCAGTACCCCCGGCGCAGATGTTTCCCCCGCCCCGCGGCGAGCGTTCTGTCCTCGGTCGGTGACTGCTGTTTGAGTCTTATTGGGGCAACTTGTTAATTAAGCGCTTGCTTGTCTTGCTAAGGCGTTAGGTTCATTTTTCCAGTCTTTGCTAATCATGGGTAAAAGGGGCTGCATCTCCAGTCCCTCCAGCCCCGAGTCCCTCCAGAGACAGGTCCCAGCGGCGATGGGCACACTGTGGGGGGTTCCAAGCAGAAGCAGCTGTGCCCAGCAGTGGGTAGAGATGGAGGTGATGCACCATCAGGACATCCAGCCCATGTCTGGTCTCACTTGGGTGCGTTTCACTTCCTTATGCAGGACCTCACAGCCCAAAGCGCTTTCCTAGATGGGTCTGAAAATGGTGTATCTGAATTTGGGAATGTCTTAGCTGTTGGGCATGGGGAGAGGAGAGATGCTCCTCCCTCCCAGCTGTGCCATTGCTGGAGGCTGTGGCATTTTGGGTGCGTCAGGCCTCCTCCTAGGACCTAACTGTTCACAACAAAATGGACCATTCCTCCTCCCTGTGTGGCACCTCTGTTTAAAAAAGAAATCATTAATTTCTATTTAAGATATTTTTTTTTTAGTGCTGGTGAAAGGCAAATGGGTAGCTGGGCTTAGTGGACCAGGTCCGCATCCTGTTGGGGTTGAGATCCCAGGGGTGGCCAGCTCTCCAGCTGCAAGGTCTGCAGGCTACCTCGAAGGGTGGCCCCGCCAGCGGCCACCTGCCCCAGGGCCTGAGCCACAGAGAAGTTTCATATCCTGCCTTTTTAACCCTTGAATTCCATTCCCTCACCCCTTTTTTTTTTTTTTCTTCCCTGTGGTGTGACATTTCTTCATGTTAAAGCATTCCCAAATTCATGACCCTGCACTTTCAGGAGGTCCCAGCAGCCAGGCGCGGGTGCAAAGCCCTTGTGGCAAGAGCAAACTGCCCAGGACAGTTGGGGACATGAGGACAGGGATGAGGAGGACATGAGGACAGGGATGGGTCACAGCAGCCCCAGCAAGGTGTGGTGGGGAGGGAAGCCATGGTGCCTTGCTGCTGCTTGGCTCCCGGCTGGGGTCAGAAAAAGAGATGCCAGGGTGGTATCAGACCGGGCACACGTAAGAGTGGGCAGGTTTCATGCTAACCCTGAGGGACTTGACCGTCCTGGTCCCCAGACCTCTCCTGAAGACACCGGGGACCTCGCCGTGCACTGTCCCCGCCGGGTTCGCGTTGCTGCCTTGGAGGCCGCAAAGTCCGGCCCTGACCAACCCTCCCCGCTTGCCAGGCGCTTTCCAGCCCTGGCAATTCTTCCAGGATATAACCCGTGCCGGAGGGAAGTGCCAGGGCAGGCGAATAAAGGTGTTCCCACGAATTAATAGGAGGAAGAAAGAAAAACATGTGCCAGTTGGGGCTTGCCCCTGGAGCGGTGCATTGTCTCTGGCGGGCTCGCTGCCCGTGCAGAGCGGGGCTCTTTGAAGGCTGATTTAACTCCACTCCTGGGAGGTGTCACCTGTTGGCACTGCGCCTTCCCCAGCTCCCCGATGAGGTTTTTGTCTCGTTGAACGCTGGCGACAATAAGGGTCACTGGAGCACGCAGCTGGGCGAAGGGACAGGCTGAGCTGTGTTTCCCAAAAAAAAACCCGGCAGCCTGCGAGGGGAGGAGGGGAAGGGAGGAGAGGAAGGCAGGCGGTAAACAAGCTGCCGTCAGCCCTGCGAGACGCCGAAGGGAGGCTTCTCCCCCCGCCGCCTTCCCGGGAGAGGGCGCTTCTCTGCTGGCTCGTAAACATGTTGTGCAAGGAGAGGGCACGGGCATGGGACTGCCACCAACCCTTCCCCGGGGCAGGGAGCGACGCCCTCCCACCCCAGCCAGGGAACCCTGGCCCACGCTGGGGGTCTCTCCCAGGCAGGGGTTTGCTAGCCGCCATGCATTTATTGGATGGAGAGGAGATGTTTGCGTTGCAAGCTGCCTTTGCTCCCCGCTTCCCTTCGGGGTTGCTTGGAGCTCAGAGGGTGAAAAGAGGAGCTGCCCAGCCCGGAGGCTCGGATGGCATGAGGGTCACCCCCGGCACAGGGACTTCCACCAGTAAACACCCTGGGCTTGTTTGCAGCTACCACTGGTGGCCAAAGTTTCTGAGAAATTTGTAGGTAGCAAGCACATTTCCAAGAATTTGGCGCTGTCAGAGCTGTCAGTGTCCCGATTAAACAAACCCTCTCTGCAAACCTAGGGAAAAGGGTTGGGCATGGCTTTACATTGCCTGTGGCTTGATGCTCCCCTTTATGGGAGCTATTTTGGGTCTCTCCTGGCCCGACTGGGTCTCAGTAGCAGCTCCTGCCTCCTTGTTTTTCAGCTGAGCCGTTAGATTCAGGTGACCACAGCTGAACTTGGTCTGAATATGGGATCCTGAGCTAATTTCTATGGGTGAAACACAGCATTGGTTTCTGTGTTGAAACCTTTGCTCTATCCATAGGGTGCAGGAACTGGGGTATGGGAGGGAAGGCAGTTTCTGTTGTAATGCTTGGTGGCTTTGCCTTGCCCAAGCAATGTGAGGAGGTGAAAAGCACCTGAATTTCACCTTGGTCCTGGACAGCCTCAGGGGATTAACACACACTTATAGCTGCTGCAAGGCTGTGATAAAGAATGAGCCGGGTTGTCCCCAGAGGGAAGGTGAGGACCTGACTCTTGAGATGTGCAATAAATCACGGCAAGGCCTTAGCCCGCAATTCCAGCTCCTCCTGGCTGAGGATCCAGCTCTCCCTGGCCACTCTCCCTTGGCTGTAGAGAGGCTGTGTCTTCAGTAGGGTGGCTGTGATGGTCAGTTGTGGGAGTGATCATGTGTGGTGCCCCCCCCCCCCCCCCCCCCCCAAGCTGGCACGGGGCAGCCCAGGATCCTGTCACCCCGAGGCAGGTGTGTGGGTGGCGTGTGCTTGGCCTGGTACCTACATGTGCATGCAGGTGTGTGCACACAGGCGGCAGCTCTTTCTGCTAGTGCTGGCATCCCTCTCCTGCCCCTTGGGTCTGGGCTGCGAGGTGCAGAGGGCTGAGTAGGAGTGGGGATGGGACAGTGAGCGAGCGAGCTGCTGGGGTGGAAAAGTACTGGACAGTGCCTGCAGTTTGCTGGGTGCCTCTTGCCACTCGGGTGCCTGTGAAGTGGGTGCTCCCACACCCACGGTGGGGCTGGGGGACTTCTCCCCGCCTCGTGTGACAGTGACCGATCCTGTGCCCTGGAGCGAGGGTCCTGGCTGCAAATTCAGGTGCTGGAGCCTGTTACCTGCTCCAAGGGGCGAAGCAGGGCATTGAGCACGCACTGCCTGTTCCCCCACCCCCAAACGTGCAACAAGCCAGAGCCTGGGCCCAGGGCCTGGGGGGACTCCAAGTTCCTCCCGCTCTCCCCCCGCGGCCCTGTTTACCCAGGGCGGCTGATTTCCATCCCTGTGAGTTATGCAAAGGCAGCCGCTAATGTAAACGCCGCGGAAAGCGCTGGATCTGCTCCCGCCGCCGCCGCCTTCCTTGAACCATGGCAGACGAGGGGTTATTCTTTTTCGGGCGGGAGGGTTGCAAGAAGGACCCAGAACCCACCCCCACCTTCCCTCTTCCTT